TCGGTCTCATTTGTATAATTCTTCCATATATAATAAGGACTGGGTAGTCTGAAATCCTATCGTCCAAACTAGCTACAGTGCCTTGGGTGGGGGTGGGGGAAGCACTCATTGATTCATGAAAATTATGGAAAATTTAGATGTATAATGAAAGGACTTTATTTTTTTTTTATTTTTGATACAATGCAACAGAATCATATAATTTTATAATTAAGAAAAAAACAAAAATACCATAATAAAAGTTCTAATATAATATACTAATTAAAAAAAAAAAAAACTATTGTGGGCAAAACATTAATCAAAGGAAAAAAAAAATAATCTAAAACTATCTTATAATACTAAAATCTTAAAGCTGCTACCACATTATTCTCCCCCTTTGTCAAGAAAATTCGTCCAAAATTTTAAGCGGATTTGGAATCCTCTTTAGTGGGCAAACATTAATTGTTGTTCTATGTGCATCATGTTTCTACAAGTATAAACATCCTCCAGTAGTACTCGCAGATTACTCAATGTTCTTAAACGGAAAAACTATTTCATCATTTTCAAGATGAAGCATGTTATCCAAAAATATCATGAAGAATTCAAATTAAAAAATTGAAATCTCTATTGCCATCAACATTCCAAAGTGTTAATGGCTAAACATGACGTGACATTTCTAGATCAACTTGAAGATATTCAGACAAGATAGCAACGTTTTTTGCTAAAATTTTGGTAAGAGAAAGCTCGTATATTTTCTTAGTGGTGAGCTTTGCCCATTTCATTGTGCCTTTTCCTTATATAAGCCACAAAATCGGTGTCCAATCTAGTGATGCGTAGCTCCACCTTGTTTCGAGGGATTACATTGGCTAGAGAGTTTGGTAGTTTAGCGACGAAGGCTCATCATGACACTTAGGTCATAGCCTGTAGCCTAGACAATTATTGCTTTTCTTTGATTGGTGACGATAGGCTTCATTGATGTTATGGAAAACACCATTTTGCTTTTCATTGACTACAAATGATGGTGCTGACGTCATAAAGGGACATGTTTTTAGTTTAATCATGATCACAAAATCTTGGTGCTCTTCTCTATCTAATGAATGGAGAATCTGCTTTAAAATTGTCCGCCCTATACCCACCCTCGAGTATATGCTTCAACATGAATAACGCATGGGTAGATTAGAAACTTCGGGTAAAATGTCCGCCCATAATCCATCAGATTACATAGTTCAGGGATTGATGACTTACCCATTCAATGAGATGTTTTCTCATGTTGACCGAACCTTCTTGGGTGGGTCCTAATTGCTGACATTTAGCACTGAAATTTTTTTGACACTCTTATAACAAATAATCTCTTTTGACTGCTTTGAATTGGACCCCCAAATGATCCGATATGGCCTTCTCAGATTGGACACAACACAAAGTAACAAAAAATTAGTCCCATTTTCAAAGAAGACACAACTTCACCCGTGGTGACAATATTTTTTCCAGGCGAATGAACTATTTTTTATTTTTACTTTTCTGCTGATATATTGTGGGAATACAAAAGAAATAATCACCATCAATTTGTAGAGATTGTATGGAATCAACAACCAATTTTCATATTGAAGTGAACACCATTGATGTTTATTAGATGCATTGTTCTTTATCAACAACAGAAGATCGGAAAATCTTAAATGATTACTCAATAAATTGTTAATTCTATGATGTTGCAATCTTTGATCAACCACTGACAGTTTCAACCTTTTCATTTTGTACCTCATCTCGAATCACAGGATTCAAATTCCGAATATAGTTGATTTTAGCAATAGCCATAACACAGGTCATTAGCATATTTTAATATCAAACAAAAAATTGAAGAGACATTTGAAATTAGGAATATAAGATCAATACTATGATAGCAACAAGGATAGTGTTGTCCTCTAACACTGCAGTATTGTATTTTGACCTCAAGGGGAACTCTAACATGGTAATAATATAAATATGGGTAATTAGCATATAACGTCCACACCTTTAATTGTTATTGTGGAAAACGTCCATACTTTTCATTTTCTGGCATTTTCACCCTTATTTTCACCTATCATTGCGCAAAATGTCATTCTTATCTATTTTCTCCGTTAAAAAGTTATGAAATGACGAATATACCATTATCTTTAAATAGAAAAAAGAAAAAAAAAAGTAATTGCAATCATAATCTCAATTTTTTCAAAAAATGCAAATGAATTCTAAATAGATTATTAAAAGGGTAATTAATACATAATGTCCCTACTTTTCGCTATTATTGTGAAAAACTACCCAAAAAGTAGCCTTGAAACATTCTGGTCCATTTTTTTTGCTTTTTTTGCAGCTTCGTAATTTTTTGCTCGACATATTTACTTGACACTTCAATGTAAGTAATGCTTAATTAGTATGATCAAAAAATCAGTCATAGTTCTTATCTTAAAATAAAATATTTTTTTATGCATAACATTTTATAAAGTGAATTTTTTTTGTGCTTCAAAATCCTCACTTGATCTTTCCATATGTCATTGCTAAGAATTAAAGTGCTTTATACTTACAAACAAGCTAAAACACAGTTCCAATATTTTTGATTGATTTGGAGCGAGTTGTCACGGCCCTCCCGATCAGCCCTTGAGGTTCAAGGGACCCCCAAGGCAGCCTCCCCCACACATGCTATCGGCAAGCTTAGATATGCAACATAAGT